CTATCTACATCAAGCTATATTCTGTCTTTATCACCAAACTCCGAATGTATTAATTGTATTAATTAACGTTATTTTTTAATATATGAGTGGCCATGTGGTGATTTTAGCCTATAAATTCTGTTGTTTAATGTCTTAACCTGTATATTAAGGTACTTTTATAGGTCTGTTTAGAGTAGGTAATGTCTTGATAATATAAATGTTTTAAGTTTTTTTGTATTAATCCTGCATATTTCCTTTTAATTTCCTTGAATGGTTCTGTGTACATTGTGGCAGCCTTTGGCTATGTGCAATAAAACTGACTGACAGCCCAAGCACAAGAGTCCTCTGCCCTCCTGCAGTTAAACTGGGATTCAGGATACTGTCTCTGCCCTTTGGAGACAGAGCAAAGTCATCCTAGCTAGCAGTCATCAGTTGCCATCTCCATGAATTTGTCTAACCCTCTTCTAAAGCCATCGAAGTGGATTTCCATCGCTGCCTCCTGGGCGCAGTGAATTCCATAGCTTCTCTGTCCTGTGTGTTCATTTTATCTGCCCTGAGTGCTGAAGCATCCAGTTTCATTCAAAGGATAAGTCACCTGGTGTCAGGTGATTGATAGGTGGACAGCCCTGCCCTGTCAAATTTGGGGAGATGAAGATCTGGCCTATCGTCCAGAAAGAAATGCCTCAACCTTGTTTGCAGCCCTAGACATCATCATCATCATCATCATTTATTACTTATACCCTGCCCATCAGGCCGGGCCTCCCCAGCCACTCTGGGCGGCTTCCAACAGGAGATTAAAAACACAGTAAGACATCAAACATTAAAAGCTTCCCTAAACAGGGCTGCCTTCAGATGTCTTCTAGAAGTCAGAGAGTTGTTTATTTCCTTAACATCTGATGGGTGTTCCACAGAGCGGGTGCCACCACCGAGAAGGCCCTCTGCTTGGTTCCCTGTAGCTTCACTTCTCGTAGTGAGTGAACCACCAGAAGACCCTCGGAGCTGGACCTCAGTGTCCGGGCAGAACGATGGGGGTGGAGACGCTCCTTCAGGTCTACTGGGCCATTTAGGGCTTTGAAGGTCAGCACCAACACTTGGAATTGTGCTTGGAAACGTACCAGGAGCCAATGTAGGTCTTTCAGGATCTGTTATGTGGTCTCGGCAGCCGCTCTCAGTCACCAGTCTAGCTGCCGCAAGATATGCATAGAATCATAGAATTGTAGAGTTGGGGGCTGATGAGGGTCATCTGATGAGGGGCTGATGAGGGTCATCTAGTCCAACCCCCTGCAATGCAGGAATCTCAGCTAAAGCGTCCAGGACATATGGCCATCCAACCTGATTTAAAACCTACAAGGAAGGAGAGTCCACAACCCCTTGAGGGGGTCCCTTCCACTGTCAAACACCCGTTTTTCCTGATGTTTAGTTGAAATTGCCTTTTCCCATAACATGAAGCCATTGGTTTGAGTCCTTCCCTTCAGAAAAGGAGAAGTAGCAAGAGCCTAGTAAGTACTGGGTTTCCCAATGGCAACTTTTCCATCCTTTGTCATGTTTAGCCACAAACTTCCATATTTCAGAGGATCTCAATTAGTCTTAGGGACTCAGACGTACTCAGACGTCGAGGGCAAGAAGGTAGGGTTGTTCTGTTCCTTCGAAGGCCATTTACGATAATTTTTATTGTCATTGTCCCATACAGAACAACAAAATTGGAAAAATCTACATCAGACATTCAAAAACCCACAAGCCTGCTATCCCAGCCTGGTTAGCCCCCTAAAAACTCTTGATATCCCATAATTAAATACAATATACTCCCATAGAGACTACCTTACACTGCGTTTAAAACCAAAATCGCATTTGGATAGAAACTGTTTCTCAGGCGGCTAGTCCCAGTCTTTATAACCCTGTACCTTCTTCCAGAAGCCAGAAGCTGAAAGAGATCATTTCCGGGGTGCGCACTATCCTGCGCTATCTCTGCCGCTTTCTTATGGCACCTGGAAGCATAGATTTGATCCAAGGTGGGAAGAGTGCACCCACATTCTCTCCGCAGTCTTTACAACCCTGGACAGCATTGTTTTTCCCCTGACCGTGCAGCTCCCAAACCACACACAGAGACCATAAATTAATACACTCTCAACAGTACAATGGTAAAATGTTTTTATATGCAGATTCAGACATGGGGAAGTGGTTCTCTTAAAAGTATATAGCAGCACGTCGTTTCCCATCCACAAATTTAATCCAAGCGAGTTATTAATGGGAATTATCCATCAGCAACACACCCAGTTTTCTTGGAACACCCTAAAAGCGCAATGCAATCAAAGGCAGGCGTGCTGCTTTTATAATCTCCCTTCTTGAGCTTGCCAAAGGTGATGAGTTATGACACAGAGGAGCCCTGGAGCATAACTTCCCAATGCAATAAAATAATTAAAAAATTGTCCAGTAGCACTTTAGAGACCAACTGAGTTTGTTCTGGGTATAAGCTTTCGTGTGCATGCACACTTCTTCAGATTCCCAATGCAATGCAAATTAACATCATGATAGATTAGGGTTACCAGATTTTTTTCCAATGAATCCGGGGACATCATAAATAAATAAGTACGTACGTAAGTAAGTAATAAATACTACACATTTGGGATGTTGATGCTGCAGCAATGGCGGTGGCAGAGGGGCAGCCGCTGCCTTGACCTCAACCGCCACGTTTTCCCTTCCTCCAAAGTTCAAAACACAAATCAGATCTGGCAGCAACCTCCCTAACCTGGACCAGGAAGGCATGTTGAATTTCTCAACATTCAAGTTCCAAAAATGAAATTTAGTTTTGACTGGTAAATAAGATGTGTGTAAAATTGCATAGAAATAATTAAAATAATTGTCAAGTACTTGCTGTTATATTTATTTATTATTATTATTATTAATATTTAGCATTACCCGGCATTTTCAGAAGGTAATTAAATTAAAATGATTTGACTTTCCGAAAGCAGTTTACGTGCTTCGTTATCAAACGTACATTTTACAAGCTGAATGTTGTCCAATCACAAAGATAATAGCAAATTTGAATTCCTTACACACCCACACACCCATTTTTTTAAGACCCTCACTGAAGAAATTTGCAAAATTCAAGTTTTCCCACCAGGTTGTTTGTGAAACTGGGTCATCTAATTCTTTCCCTGTGGCAAAACCACTAAAAGGTCTAAACTTACAGTTACTTATGAGAACACAATTAAAGAAAACCACACAGCTAAATAGTGTTGTTTATTAAAATACCAAGTGAAACAGGTAAATATAAGAAAATGCATTTAATACTGATATAAATCATTTCACTGTATGTACACAGAGCTCACAGCAGGGTGATTCCTAGGCAGTATTATAAATGACAATATAACAGATCAACTGGACCATCCATAATAGGAAATATTTCAAGGTTTTAAAATGTCTCTTTAACACCAAAACATAAAACTATCCTCAAATCTATTTTTTCCTCTTCAAAGTCTTTATACAATTAGGATGATCCCGTGAATCCACCACAACAGATTCTTACGCAGAAAATCCTGACTTCATTAAGGTAACAGTGTTTTACAGGTAGAATGTTCTTAAGTCAAACATTTTCCGTACCTTCAAAGCTATTGAATTAGCTTTCATTATCCAATTTGCATAAATCTCCTCATCAACGAATTGGACAGTACCAAGTTTTACAATGCATTTATGTTTTCCACCTTTCAAAGTGTGGCTTCACATTAAATACAGCAGCAACTGAAAGGCTTAACTGAGAGTTCCATTTTCCCCAAGGAAAGAAGGCTATTAGATGTAGGGTTATTGTTCTATAATGTCTATAGTCACTTTCAGCTGCCAGAAAAGAGAATTCTAAGCTTTAGTAGGTCAACTGAGCACATGGCACGCATAGTTTTGCCAAAGATATCTATCCAACAGAAGAAAAATGAATAGGCTAAATCCAACTCGTTATTGATCTGCAAGATCATTTATTGCAGAATATGAAACATTCCAAGACAGAAGAGATTCTTCTTTCAAGGAAGCGGTGGCGTAATTTCTGTTGATTTATGAATTGCCTTTCACCTAAGTCTCAGGATTTACAGACGTGTAACAGAAAGAATTACGATTGGTTTAAAAACAGTAAGGGCAAGACTGAGACTGTGTTCACACCATACATGGAAAGCACACACGTCCACCACAAAAAAATATTTCTGGGAGCTATAGTTTGTTAAGGGTGCTGGGAATGGTAGTTCTGTAGGGAGAAAACTAGAGTTTCCAGGATTCTTTGGGGGGGAGTGTTTTAAATGCATTGTGTGTATACATCCCTCAAAAACTACAGTTCCCAGAACTCTTTGGGTAACAGTGACTGGAGACAGTTAGGTTGTGTGACCAGAGGAGGAATGACCGCTGGGAGAGCAGAGAAGGAACGGCCTGGTGCATCTGCAGCAGCACAACCGGACGTCTCCATCTTCCCCAGCTGCAACAAAACATGTCTCTCCTGTATCGGTCTCTACGGCCACAGCAGGCGCTGTAACTCTCCAATGGTCTGACTTCACCCCCGAAGGCGCACTCCTCCACTGTCTCCTGAGACAGAAGCCAACCAATTCTAGTCGATGGGTCAGTCCCAAGTTCTTAAGGCAACAAGTAGCAGGGTGGGTTGGATTGGTACCAAAGTAATTTAAAAATCAAGAAGTCTTCTACTGTCTCGACAGATGCCAACTCTGCATAGTGGCCGATTGTTGGCTCAAAATTAAGAGAACCAACCATTTTCTTGGTAAAACACTTCTGGATAACAGAAGCATTCTCCCCCTGTGCAACCTATTTGTGTTTCCTAGGATAATGTACAAACTGCCTGTGTGTGAAAGAGCATTGCAGGGGGTTAGACTAGATGATTCTTGGGGTCCCTCTTCCAACTCTACAATTCTGTGAGTCTAAGAACCTACGGTTTCAGTGTAAGGATTGCCAATGGTGACTCGGCGAACTCGTTAACTCTAAACAGTATATTATTAAAAGCTACAGTAGAAAAGAGGGCGAAACACAAAGTGTCAAGTATATAAATTTTATAAAAATAGAATTAGCTGGCTTTTAAAAATATACTTTATTGAGCCTCAGTAAGATTTGTACATAATAAAGAAAAATAGCAAAAGATCCTGATGCAACTGCATTTCGTCCAAATCTCTTCCTTGCTGCTTACATATCAGTTATTTCTGAGTTCACTATGATTTATATTTTAATTATCAATTGATGGATGTTCTCTTTTTTTGAACTAGAGCAAGAAACAAAGAAGAGGACACATATTTTGATCTAAAAAATACTGATTCTTTCCTTCTTTTAAGCAAATGGTGATGGATGGAGACTTTCGTGTAACTGCCATCCTACTTTCAAAAATACCTATCATGATAGAAATCTGTGTGTCGCGCTGCATCAAGCTACACGCCAGTCCAAATCTGAAATTTTGGGGAAATTCCAGAGTTTATAGATTTCTGGATCCAATTGCAATTTCTGTGAAGTTTCATGCTCCTCTCCTTAATGAGACGACCCTGTACATAAGTTGGCATATTCAAATCAAATAAAACTCTAATAAGCCTGGTTAATATTTTAAGAAAACACACATTTGCTAGTTAACACTGTATTACCTTATTTAGAGGGAATGGGGTTGGAATTACAGGTTTTAAGATTTTGTACATCTCTGCGTTTCAACTATTCCACTCTCAAGCAATCCTCCCAAGCTCAATCTTTATCAATAAAAAAATAACTTTGGTGTCTATGAAAAAAAAGAAGAAGAAGATTCAGCTTCTGGCTTCAGAACATACAATTTGTGCATCTTACAGTTTTGCTGCCATAGTCTATACACTCTGGTCCAATACATTCGCAGCAGGCGTTGTGAAACCATCGGTATTTTGATGCTCCCATAGATTCGCAGGAGCTCTTGCACTGATGCACCGACATGCAGTCGTCGAAGTAAACCACCGTGCACGTGGCTTCTAAACGAAGAGAGTGAGAAAGGCACTTTAGTCTGCTGAGAAAAGCTCAAGCTGCCAATCTTTCAGACAATGGAACCAATAACTTAATTTCCAGCTTAATTCAGGGTGAATGGAACAGCTTTTCCCTTGATCCAAACACACCTCTGTCAGTTTTGAAATAACGTTTAAAATAAAGTCCCGTATTTTCGCTCTATAAGACGCACCAGACCATAAGACGCACCTAGTTTTTGGAAGAGGAAAACAAGAAAAAAAAATATTTTGAATCCCAGAAGCCAGGACAGCCAGCGGGATTGCAGTGCAGCTTCTGGGATAGCCGCACGCAGCCTCTCCCAGGCAAGGGGAGCCTTCATCTCCTGCCTGAGAGAGGCTGTGCACGGCTAAGGCTCCCCCAAGAGCCACACTCCCTTTAAAGAGCATGCGGAGCGTGTGTGCGGCTCTTGGGGGCTTTTCTCCTTGGGGAAAAGCCCCCAAGAGCTGCACACACGCTCCATGCGGCTCTTTAAAGGGAGCGCTGAGCAGAGCCTCCCGCCTGCATTCGCGCCAGAAGAAGCACACACATTTCCCCTTACTTTTTAGGAGGGGAAAAGTGTGTCTTATAAAGCGAAAAATACGGTATGTCCCGTATGGAATTACTGCAGTAGCAAAATCAGTATAATCTTTGTCTCCTGCTCTGCACACTCTTATCCAGGCACCCCCAAACTCAGCCCTCCAGATGTTTTTGGACTACAATTCCCACCATCCCTGACCACTGGTCCTGTTAGCTAGGGATGATGGGAGTTGTAGTCCCAAAACATCTGGAAGGCCGAGTTTGGGGGTGCCTGCTCTTATCTATTTATCTCTCCCCCCCCTTCTCTGGAGACCTTGGGCTGCGATACAGCAGAGAAAGTAAACACAACACCAAATATTAAAAATCAGTTCGAAAGACCCATCGGTTGCAGACACAACATATCATATTTTTCGCTCTATAAGGCGCACCAGACCATAAGATGCTGCTAGTTTTTGGAAGATGAAAACAAGAAAAAAAAATCTGAATCTCAGAAGCCAGGACGGTTCAGGAATCAGCGTGTTTTTACATGAGTAGAAAGTGTGCTTTTATTTAAAATGCATCTCTGGGTTATTTGTGGGGCATAGGAATTCGTTCATTTCCCCCCCCCCCACAAAAAAAAAAAAAATAGTCCGGCCCCCCACAAGGTCTGAGGTACAGTGGACCGGCCCCCTGCTGAAAAAGTTTGCTGACCCCTGATTTTAAAGCTTTTCTCCCAAAAATCCTGGGAGCAACAGTTTACCCTCTCACAGAACTATAGTTCCCCGCACCCTGACCAAACTACAGTTCCCAGGTCTCTCTGAGGGAAGCCATGGGATTCAAATGTAGGCAGCGATTCACCATAATCCGTGGACCAGGCATAACCCCACACTTTGGAACTGTGACAACACTTGCCTGTACAGTGGTACCTCGGGTTACATACGTTTCAGGTTACAGACTCCGCTAACCCAGAAATAGCACCTCCGGTTAAGAACTTTGCTTCAGGGTGAGAACAGAAATTGCACAGCAGCGACGGGAGGCCCCATTAGCTAAAGAGGTGCTTCAGGTTCACAACAGTTTCAGCTTAAGAACGGATCTCTGGAACAAATTAAGTACGTAACCAGAGGTACCACTGCACTTTAAAACTGCAGCTAACGCCTCATTCTTCCTTCCTCTCTTTTCCAAATGAACACAATCTCAACCCCAATTCTAGGAGCTCAGTTTTCACACAGCAACCCGCTTACCTTTGTCGCTGGAGAACGGCGTGTGGACGTTGTTGCTTGAAACCGAGACGTTCTGGTGCTGGGGGTGGTTCACCGACTCTAAAATGGAGACCAGGTTCTCGTGGTGGGACAGCTCTTCCGCGACGGGAAACGAGACAATATTCCAGTGCAGCTGGGTGTCCCCTTCTGTAAGCGCTCGGAAAAGCGAGGGGATTGGCCCGTGCAGTTCCTCGACGGTGCTCTTGGACGTGGGAGGCGTGTCGCTATAATTGCGAGGGTTGCACATACCTGGAGGTGAGCAAAATAAAAAGAAAAGGCACCCATAAGAAGCAGCATTTTTTGGAAAGGCGAAATGTTCAACTTCAAATCATGAGCGGGGAGTGCTGGTAAGACCTGAAGCTTATTTATTTATTTCATACCATACACCGCTATACAGTGTAGAAAATCCCTCAAGACAGTTTACATAAAAAGTTCGTCTTGCCCCTTTCACCTTCCAGGTACAGTGGTACCTCGGGTTAAGTACTTAATTCGTTCCGGAGGTCCTGTTCTTAACCTGAAACTGCTCTTAACCTGAAGCACCACTTTAGTTAATGGGGCCTCCAGCTGCCGCCGCGCCGCCGGAGCACGATTTCTGTTCTCATCCTGAAGCAAAGTTCTTAACCCGAGGTACAATTTCTGGGTTAGTGGAGTCTGTAACCTGAAGCGTATGTAACCTGAAGCGTATGTAACCCGAGGTACCACTGTACTTATTTTGGGTGATGCTTGAGTCTGTAGCATGGCTAATCCCTTTAAAGGAGCAAGCACATAGCTTGGAGATATTCCAGGATAAAGCTTTTCCATTAGACAAGCTGTCTTTTACCAGCTTCCATCCAACAGCACATCTGGATCAGAATAACTTCAACACTGTAGTAGTACATGCACTAGTAACCTAAAGGCTGGATTACTGCAATGTGCTTTAAGAAGCAAAAAATACCAAGACATCACCTTCCATTTAAGCCTGGTGGAAAAGGGTGGGCAGTTTTTATTGGGGTGGGGGAGGACACACTATGAACCTCACATTTCTTATTCTGTCTCACAGACACCAAAGCCTTTTTTGCCTCCTTGTGACACAGGGTGAAATTACAAATCACCTTTTCTTGGGAAAGTATCCAATTTGTGCAAAGCTTCTTTGATCACAATTCAAGAATGCAATTTTGTTTACCAAGGAGTTTAATCTCTTGCCAGAATTACAGAAGCAACTTCACTAGCCAAAGGTATGACATAAGCACATAGTCAATGACACATGAGACACTGCTTCCATTTCACAGCATAGCTAAATATACTCCATGCCACATGCATGAAAGCTCTATTGAAAGTATCACTTTCCTCATTTAATGCACTTTGAAAAACACATCTGTACGAACTCACCAGCATCTTACTTTAGGGTAATAATAGCATACGGATTACTTTCCCAAACACAACGTGTGTGTGCGCGCGCTCTCATACACACAGTTTAAAAGTACAGAGGACACTTGGGTTGCGAACGTGATCCGTACGGGGTGCACGTTTGCAACCTGCAGCGGTGCATCTGCGCATGCACAGATTGCAATTCAGCGCTTCTGCGCATGCGCAAAATGCAATTTAGCGCTTCTATGCAACTGCCGAAACCCGAAAAAACACAACCTGAAGCATCTGTAACCCAAGGTAAAACTGTAACAGGATGTAGAAACTAAATTCTGAAGAATTTTTTTGTTGTATTTGGCTGCTAAACTACAAAAATGGCATCACAATCCATTTATTCTGCAGGCCACTCACTATTTTACACCAGTCGTTTTCAACCAGTGCGCCGTGGGGTGCGCTGAATGATGGCCAGCCCAAGGTGGAGGAGATGCAGGGAATCATTAACTTCTGCACATGAACACCCCCCTCCCCACTTCACGTGCATCCCAGGAGACAGCATGAAAAACAGACTATTTAGCCAAAATAACCCTCGGCTGTGTAAATTCGGGATTTGGGTCAGCGGTCAGGAGAACAGACTGTCAGATACAAATATGGTAAAAATCAACATCATCTCCGTTTGGCCTACAGTAGCTTGAAATACTGCATAAATAAGCCACAAGGCTCTGAAACATCGGCCATAAGGAAACTTAATCAGCGGGGCAGGGAAGGGTCTAGCAGGGGGCTCAATTCATGAATTACCAAAACAGTGTGGTTAAGCAAAATTAATCTCCCCTGTAAGCTTGCGAAGTGGAACACAGGATGGATGAACAACCAAGTTCTTTGACACACCACCGCTGCCCCCTCCCTTCTACGAAACAAGTCACCCTTGATGTGGGGAAGAGCGACGTCATGCACCTCAGTCCTGTGGTTCCTGTTTGGGGAAGTTACTGGAATAGCGCATGATTCAGCTCATAGGGCAGCAGCAACTATATCGCTCTTCCAACATATGAACTGGAGCATAGACACAGACGTGCAGAGCTGTTTCTCCTTCCCTAATACAGTGGTTGCTCGGGTTGAGAACGTGCGGGTTGCGATTCGGTGCTTCTGCGCATGCGCAACTTAGCACTTTTGCACATGCGCAATCGCCAAAACCCAGAACTAACCCATTCCAGTACTTCTGGGTTTCGGTGAATCCGTAACCCCCCAAAAAAACGCAACCTGAAGCATCTACAACCCGAGGTATAACTGTAAATCTAGCTCATGGGTATACCCATGTGGGTTAAACCACGGAGCCTAGGACTTGCCAATCAGAAGGTCAGCGGTTCGAATCCCCGCGACGGGGTGAGCTCCCATTGCTCGGTCCCTGCTCCTGCCAACCTAGCAGTTCGAAAGCACAGTGCAAGTAGATAAATAGGTACCACTCCGGTGGGAAGGTAAACGGCGTTTCCGTGCGCTGCTCTGGTTCGCCAGAAGCGGCTTAGTCGTGCTGCCCACATGACCCGGAAGCTGTACGCCGGCTCCCTCGGCCAATAAAGTGAGATGAGCGCCGCAAGCCCAGAGTCGGTCACAACTGGACCTAATGGTCAGGGGTCCCTTTACCTTTATACCCTACTATTTTCTCGGTGAGTGCCATGGCTAGCCCTGACATGGTGCCAGACATGATGAACCAGACACCCCAAACGGCGAGGACCCTGAGTAGCAGGCAGGGTTCCCTGAATCCAATGCTGGGGATCCCCTTGAGGGGGGCCCTCCAGGCAGAGGCTTGATGGAGAACCCCCATATCTACCAGAGGAGGCGTTGGAGGCACTCCTCAGTCCTCTAGAGGGTCCCGTAGACCACCAATTGGGAACCCACTGCCCTAAAGCCCTGGATTCTGTGTATGCTCTGCTCCATTGTATTGACATGGCTCTTAAGAGCCACAGATCCAAAGCAGTGGGCATGAGTATATATATCTGAAGCAGCCAAGGCCGTATTAGGTGATAAAGAACGAACGAACTTACCAACGCAGTCACAGCACTCGTCCCACAGTGTGCCCAGACACAACATGCACTCCTTGCAACAGGAGCAGTTCCCTTCAACAGGCCGGCATTGACACAGCTCCTGGAAACACAACACACCATTTAGGTATTTCTGTGCATAAAATACCACGGGAGACAAATGCCTTCCCCCACAACTACCACAGTTAGGAACATACATAGGAAGCTTTGTTAGGAACGTACATAGGAAACAAATATTCTGCTTTGTTGTGTGTCCCCCCCACACTTTTGTTGCACTATAGGCTCTCCAGACAGCAATAATGTGGTAACATTGGCGGTGGGGGACGGTGGGGAATCATAGAACAGACTAAATCCAACATCAAGGCATTATTGTGTCAAAAATATGTTGCAAAGTACACCTGCAATAAAGCACCAGCCTGAAGAGGAGGAGGAGGAGAAGAGTTTGGATTTGATATCCTGCCTTTCACTCCCCTTCAGGAGTCTCAAAGCGGCTAACAATCTCCTTTCCATTCCTCCCCGACAACAAAGACTCTGTGAGGTGCGTGGGGCTGAGAGACTTCAGAGAAGTGTGACTGGCCCAAGGTCACCCAGCAGCTACATGTGGAGGAGCGGGGAAGCGAACCCGGTTCCCCAGATTACAAGTCTACCGCTCTTAACCACTACACCACACTGGCTCTCCTTATCCATATACAATTGCAAAAACAGCCACACAAACCATTATTTAAGAGGGGCTGTATTTAATCGCACATTTGCTATGTACTGTGCAGATAACAGAAATCATCTTTTTGACTCCACTGCCATTTGGAAGCACAGCAACTTCTGCTATGCAAAATTACCATGTATTATTTAATGAAATTCTCACCGGTGGAAGTATATATATTGTTTAAAATAAAGTAGGATGTACGCAAGCTATATTGCATAGCTCTAGTTTCTCCCCCTGCTAGCTCACTGTGATACACATAAACCAGGCTTCCTCAACCTTGGCCCTCCAGAAGTTTTGAGACTACAGTTCCCATCATCCCTGACCACTGGTCCTGCTAACTAGGGATCATGGGAGTTGTAGGCCAAAAACATCTGGAGGGCCGAGGTTGAGGAAGCCTGACATAAACTATATATGGGTTAACGTGCAGACTGCCAAGAACTTTATTAAAGCCAAAGTTCTCAGCGAAGAAGAAATGACTAACAGGATATTTAAAAGACTCATCCAGGGTCACAACACAAATGCAACATGTCTCAAGACAAGAAACTGTTGATCTCATTCACATCTGTTACAGAGCTGATAAAATAAATATTTATGCAGATCATCCTTCCCACATTCTGGAAAAGGCAGTATAATGAACGCAGCCTCTTCTACTTCACAGAGTGAAAGAATTTAGAGCAATGGATCTTGCTTAATAATCTTCCCGCATATTGAGTTCAGGGACCTGCTTTCATTATACATGGAATCTTCAACCTACAAAAAGTTGGTCATATCCGTTCCTCTTAAATCAGATTTGAATGTTCCATGAGTTTCAAAGGGACCCAGGCATGACCCATCAAACATAGCCAGCAATACTGAAGGATGCTTTCCCCCCCATAAGCCCCCCATGTTGAAGTGTGTCAAGTTTCAAAATTAAAAGTACAGTGGTACCTCAGGTTAAGTACTTAATTCGTTCCGGAGGTCCGTACTTAACCTGAAACTGTTCTTAACCTGAAGCACCACTTTAGCTAATGGGACCTCCTGCTGCCGCTGCGCCACCAGAGCACGATTTCTGTTGTCATCCTGAAGCAAAGTTCTTAACCTGAAGCACTATTTCTGGGTTAGCAGAGTCTGTAACCTGAAGCGTATGTAACCCGAGGTACCACTGTACTATGGTACTCCATTGCCTCTCAAGACAGATGGTTGCCAACAACAATTACCATGGCTATTTTACACATTGTGTTTTACATAATAGGAGCGGCATTTCCCACCGGCAGAAATATACAAAGAATCAGAGACATGGATTCAGCATAACTAAAATTGGCTTAACTAAGGTTTTTGCACTCTAAGCGCTGAATATGACCTCGCCTTCACTTTCCACAATGTCTCGGTATCTTCTGAATTAGCTGATTATCATATCAAAAACCTTAGCACTTGCCTCATCTCATTTTTAAAAAAAATAAAATTATATAAAGACAACCTAGCATATAAGCGTTTCCTGCATCGCAAGGACTAGATTACCCCTGGGTTCAATTCTATGTAATCGGAGTTTTTGCATCGTATGTTTAATATTGCTCAAGTTAAATACACATTTTTAAAAATAGGGTGGTGGGTGTAGCCAACCCTTTAATTAGCAAGTCTTGGGCTTGTCCTTCTTGTGAGTCACTCTTCTCTAAGCTTGCGCATACAAACAAGATTCAGAGCAGACTGCCCTCAAGGTAACTCACACGGTAACTTGAAGGGTTATTCTGAGATTACCCTTTGCGAAAGAAACAGAATCATGTTTTAAGGAGACGCTCCTGTTTAACTATGTTGGGTCATCATTGATTTCTAGGAACTATGATTCCCACACATCAGCAGTTGCTGAATTTTATTTTTATAAGCAATTGTTTAGCCTGCCCTTCATAACAATAAAAACGACACTGCAATGAAACCAATTCAGTTCAATGATTAAAACGGGGGGGAAATCAGCCTGTGCTCAGGGGGCCACGACCTCAGTTCTCCCACTTGCAGCAGAGAATAAATTCCTATTAATTTCCCAAAGGCTGGGGAAGTTGAATTTTTACTTGGCACCCAAATGACAAAAGCAAGGGAGAAGGCACCCCATAGCCACTGCCACGGAAAAGGCCCCGTCCTGTTTTCACCACATAATGCACTACTCCTGGCTGGGTGATGATGAAAAGGGCCTTCCCTCCAGGTCTAAGAGCAGCAAGGTTGTTGCAGGGCGAGGCACTAATTCAGGTATTTGGGCCCCAAGTCATTTAGGGATTCGCAGGTCAACACCAACACTTTGCGTTCTGTCCAGAGGGAGCCACTGCCAACATTTCAGAAGGGGTGTTACTTGATTCTGGCTGCACAGGTTAACATTTCGGCCACTGTGGTCTCGAGTTAATTGTATATTCCAAACAGTCCTCAAGGGCAGCTCCACAAAGAGTGCATTACGATAGTCCAGCCAGGAAGTTGGGAGAGCACCAGTCACTGTGGCTAGCCCATCCTATAATTTTTCACTGGGCTGTATTCAACTTAGCAGACCCACTGAAAATAATGAACCTAAATTAGTGATCTCCATTAACGCCGATGGGTCTACTCCAGGCACGTCCAACAGGTAGATCGTGACCTACCGGTAGATCACTGGACGTCTGCGGTAGATCACTGGCTCCCCCAAAGTAGCTCAACAAGTTTGTCTCCCGTAAGAAAAGCTCAATGTATTTGCCCTGAACCCCTAAAAAAGTGGGCTTTCCTCCTCCCAAAAATAACTCAACAACTTTGACCTGAACCCCCCAAAACAGGGGGTAGATCACTGCCAGTTTTAACTCTGAGAGTAGATCACAGTTTAATGGGAGTTGGCCACCCCTGATCTACTCTGACTAGGATTAGCACTGAATACCACCCAGCATATTCAATTAGTGCATTACTATTCTGAAATTGCAACTTCTGACGACCTGTCTGTTATGTTACTCCAGTTTCAATTCATCATTATTTCATTATTCTCACCGCAGCACATTCAGTCTCCTACAGATATTTAACTTTTATCTCAGAAAGCTAAATCTGCCAAAGCCTACATTGTATATTGTTCAAGGGTTATAGCTAATGCTTGTCCTACAACGGACATGGTTAACTTAGATTCAGGTAGGAAGCCGTGTTGGTCTGATGCAGTCAAAAAATAGTTCAGTAGCACCTCAGAGGCCAACTAAGCTTGTTCTAGGTATAAGCTTTATACCCAGAACAAATTTAGTTGGTCTCTAAGGTGCTACTGGACTATGGTTACCTTAGGTTCATCGATTTCAATATGTCTACACTGAGTAGGCTGGGGATTCGCTATACCCTACTATGAGAAAAGAAGGTAAGGTTTTGCATTCATTCCCCAAATAAGCTCATACTACGGGGAAGAGAAAATAGATTAAAGGCACGAAATGCATGTCAGAGTGGCAATTCATCTAATTAATCAGTTTGACTCCACAATATTATCCACTGTAAGGCTGATTTTTTATTTGTTGTAAGACAAATGAACATTTGGAAAAAAGGTAGAGACAAAAAACACAAACTTCATTTTTATTTTGCTTCTTATTTCAGGATTGCTTATTCATCACATCAATTCATGCTGTTAACAGCCAACCTGTACTTTCCTACCCATTCGTGACAAAAACTGTATTCCCTCCTACCTGTATTAAACACTTGCTGACATCGCTTGCACAGAGAGCCTTGTTGCAGCACATTGAGGATGGGACCCAGAAGAACAGCAAACTAATAAGTGCCGCCGCTGTGCAGTACCACAACCTCATCTTTCTTGAAAGAGGGAGATTTCTGGAACTTTCAGACAGCACTGAAATATAAAAAAGGCAGCAATTGAAGCATCTACATTTACAGAAGCAGAAATTAGGTCTCTTTCATCCTTACCACATGCTCCTAAAACAGTTTTTTTGTTTTCTCTGTGGGTTTTCCACACTCAGTCCAGCATGTGTCAAAAGCCATTCTTGAATAATCCTAGACCACTTTTCTATAGACTTCAAACTTTTTGAAAAAGAAAGCTTCACACTTTGAATTCTAATCAAGGTTTAGTGAGAAAGGACAGGACCTGAAATAAATGAATTGTGGCTAAAAAACAGGACAAAGTTCTAGCTGGGAAGCTGATGCGAAGATTACTGCCTCCAATTTAAAAATAATGAGAACGTGTTTTAACACAACCCCAAACTGTTTCTCAACACTGGGTGTCTAGAGGTATACATTTACAAAACAAGGCTTTTGAATAAAGAACAAGATGAGTGTCACATGTTTATGAACGGCAAGCAGCATTGTAATTGGTACAAAAAGTTACAGGAGTTCAGCAGGAAATCAGAGGATAGGCACTGACTGAAAATGAGGTGACCACTGCAAAATGTTTGCATGCGCGAACAGTATTGAAAGTGGGATATTGTAAGTGTCCACTCAAAGATTTGTTAACAGCAGAAGGCCAACTAAAATTGAAAACATTTGAAGACATAGTTATTAACAGATTGGTTACAGTATCATCAATTAAACAATGTCTTTAAAGTACATAAGAAAAAAGGTTTTGATACACAGAGGTTGAGGTCTGAAATAGATCTGTTGGAAAATAATGTGAATGTACAAATTACTTTTAGAATGGTATCCAAAAGATGAAGAAGTTAAGGCACTGATGATTCACTGGGCAAGAGATTTTGGATATAATATCCAATTTTCATCATGGGAAAAGTTATGGAAAGTGGATCTAAAATTTACTGCATGCTGTTTGTTGAAGGAAAACTGTATGAAAATGATATACCATTGGTATCTAACACCGAGTAAAATTGTGAAAATGTACAGAACTACAGTGGTACCTTGGGTTAAGTACTTAATTCCTTCCGGAGGTCCGTACTTAACCTGAAACTGTTCTTAACCTGAAGCACCACTTTAGCTAATGGGGCCTCTTGCTGCGGCTGCGCCGCCGAAGCACGATTTCTGTTCTCACATCCTGAAGCAAAGTTCTTAACCCGAGGTACTATTTCTGGGTTAGTGGAGTCTGTAACCTGAAGCGTATGTAACCTGAAGCGTATGTAACCCAAGGTACCACTGTAGTTCAAATCTGTGTTGGAAATGCAAAGGGAAAGAGGTCTTGCGGAGTGGTAAAAGCTTCCTGGGAAACGATATATTGTGAGTTAAAGAAAATGTTTAAGAAACCTTTTGTTAAAAAACCAGAAGCTTTTCTGTTAGGTATAATATGTGAAGAGACACCAAGAGAAGACAAAAGACTTTTCATGTCTGCAACGACGGCAGCGAGAATGCTTCTAGCCCAGAGATGGAAGGAGGAAGAAGTATCCACCAGAAAAGAATGGCAGACCAAGTTGATGGAGTACGCAGAGATGGTGAGACTGATGGGAAAGATCAGAAACCAGGAAGATCAAGTATTTTCAAACGACTGGAATAAATTTTTAATATACTTAAGAGACCACTGTAAACAGTTAAAATCATTGGCAGGGATACAGTGACACTTGTAATGTGAAATGAACTTTGGTAATTATGGGTATACAACAGATAGATGCAGAAAAAGAAAGAATATAATTTCTTTGAATATGGAACCCATGGAGGAAGGGAAGGAGGTCTGAAGGTTTGAAAGAACCTTTTATTTGAATGTTTAGAAAGGGTTAAAGTGGAAATGTATAAAATTTCGAAAAACCAATAAAAAAATTTAAAGGGGGGGGGGAATAAAGTGAGATATTGTATGA